AGGGGGGGTCCCAAGCTGAGGAAGGACTTTTTTTCGAACATAGCAAATGTTTACCTGGGCTTAGAGACTTTAGATCAAAACCAGTAAAGGGGATACACAAAGCCCAGGAGGCCAAGGAGTGGAGAAGGTTAGGAACGGGATATAGGAAGGAAGCATCAGCTTTCAGCAGGATCAGAATCTAAGGAAACGAAACCGACAGGAGGAAAGAAAGAGGCAGGGCTGGAGCCATCCGCCACTGTAGAGCGTGTCTGACACTCAAGAACCCCTGAGTTCCATCCCCAGCACTGCAAAAACAACAAAACAAAACAAAACAGTGTTCGGGCGATGGGTAAAGGAAGCAAGGAAGCATTGGGATATCAGTGAGAAGATACAGCCATCTGCTGAGACACAGGGACCAGAAGTGCGGTAGGGGACTCTGAAGAGAGGACAAGGTTGGGAGAGAGCTGTGCTGGGGAGAGGGGCTCAGCAGGTGCACAGAGAGACGGTGACCAAGGCAAGCCACTGAGTGAAAGGTTTCAGTCCACAGTCAACTCAAGGTGGGGCAACATGGTGGAGGGGCATCACAGAGGAGAAACAGTCCATGGAAGGGCAGCAAGGAGGGACCCAGGGAGGAGAAGGGATATATACATACATATATAGAGATATAGATCCATTCTCCAGGCCATGACCACAGTGACCCACCTCTTCCTGCCAGGCTTCCTCTCCCAACATCACACCCAGCTATAAACCAATCAGCCGACTAATCCAGTGGGGACCATCACACATCCATGAATCAGTCACCTTCCCAGAATCCCTGCTGCCTATGAGCACATGAGGCATTGGTGGACATTCAAGATATAAACCCTAAAAGGGGATCTGTGGACACTCACAGAATGCTGTGCTGGTGTCTTAAAATTTCAGAGCCAATGAAATGCCAAACACTGATAATCGCCAGAGTATGACTCTGGAAAGAAAGTGGCTGCAAGGGAGTCAAGATAAAAGTTATGAGAAGGAAATCAAAAAGCTTTGAAGTGGGCCAGGGATTTAGCTCAGTGGTTCCACCACCTGCCTCAAAAGCACAAGGACTGGAGTTTGATCCCCGGTACAAAAAAAAAAGGCTTTGAAGAAACTAGAAATATTGGTTGCTGAAGGAAAGGGGTGGGAGGGGAAGGAGGCCTTCACTATGCACTTTTTTGGCTTTTTTTTTTTTTTTGGTACCAGGGATGGAACTTGGGACCTTGCACTTGCAAGACAGGCGCTGGAACCACTGAGCTAAATCCCCGGCCCTATTTTTTGACTTTTTGAGACAGGGTCCTGTTTTGTAGTTCAGGCCTCAGGCTAACCTTGAACTTGAGGAGATCCTCCTGCTTCTGCCTCCTGAGTGCTAGGATTACAGGCATGCACCACCACTCCTGGCTGTACTTTTTATACTTTTTGAATTTTTAATCATACAAACGATTCTACAAGACTCTGGGCATGGTGGCGCATGCCTGTAACCCCAGCACTTCAGAGGCTGTGGCAGGAGGATCGCTACAAGTTCAAAGCCACTCTGACTGCACAGTGAGTTCAAGGCCAGCCTGAACTACATAGGAAGACCCTGTCTCAAAACAAAAAAAGAAAGAAAAAAGAAAGATTCCATTAAAAAATAAACCAAGTAGGGCCAGGGATTTAGCTCAGTGGCACAGTGCCTGCCTTGCAAGCGCAAAGTCCTGAGTTCGATCCCCGGTACCAAAAAAAAACCCCATATGTGTATATATACACACACACATATATATATATACATATACATACATATAGATATTGGTATAGATATAGATATCTTGTTCTTTTGTTTTGTTTTACCTAATGTGTGGATTTAGTCACTTGCACAAACACAGGCTGGTGACAGCCACTTGAGCCAAGTACCACAAGCAGCTAGGAGGGGTGGGGATTTCGGCAGACTGGCCAAGGCATGGAAGGGCATGGCCCTGTCCAGACTGACAAGGTGCAGGGAGACTCTGCCACCGCGTCCCCTGCCTGTGCAGGGCAGCGCAGGAAGTCGAGGAAGGAGGCTCTGCGGGGGGGGGGGGGG